GCCAACATAGGTGCCTAAGGTGGAGAGATCTGAGGCATCATTGGAGGCAAATCCTTGGACAGACCTTGTCCAAGGTTTTTCTCTGGGCCCTTGCTATTTGACTCACCAACACGCCCCATGTAGGTGTAGGCACAGCCCCCAGCTACTAGGCTCTGGCAGGCCAGAGACTACCACAACTTCATGAAAGATTCATGAAAGATTCAGAAAGATTTCAAAATGACTTCAACATAATATCATGTGGGGCCATTTGCCTGTCAGACCACCAAAATTCCAATGTCATCATATGACATCATAAATCTGTACACACCTGCTCCTGTATTCGCAGATCAAGAGTATATAGTATAGGATCACACTATTTGGCACCCACCCGGTTTCCAAAACACAAATCCCAGTTTTCAAATTTGGTATTTTTTTGTAGCCCGATTTCAAACCGGTTTCATCAGTCAATTCCTTTTTTCAAATTCAATTCTCCTCATCAATCAATCCTCTCCTCATAAATGTTCATCTCGACAAAATTCTTGTCTGTTCTTTCTTATCTCTTAGAAGTTTCACACTGCACACTCAAATCGCTCATCAACATCCCTCAACAACGTGTAAACTTTACTACACCACAAAATATGTGTTTTCTTCATATAAATGTTCATCACCAAAGCGGGTTTAGGAGCCCCAAAAGCGAGCTTATGAAGATAGAGAAATCTAACAAAAGGAAAAGGAAATGAGATAGATTGGAGATGTAACATATAAAACCGAGGTAATGGCCATGTTGTCCAAACGGGAAATTCAAATGTAGATTTGATGCCATGGAGTTTGAACTAACTTCTGGAGGTAATCATTAAGATCCTGTTGAGTGTTCTGATGGATAGCTGCCCAGAACAATATGTATGTTGACTTTGGTTCAGGAGGTAAGTGAGTGAGATGGCCAATTGAGAGAGAGATGTGAGCAATCGAGGGAGAGAATAATAATTACTGCCTGGTTTCCAGATATCATAGCCCGGTTTTAATAATTTGGCTTGGAGTACCAAGAAAAAAGTGGGCATCGGGAAATTTTAAACCGGGCCCCAAATAGTGCGCTCCTATAGTATATTAAACTTTATCATGTAAATTGACTGAGTTATTGAGGTTTGAAAAAAAAACAGATAAAAAATACTATTTTTGTACTATACACAACACTGGGATCTTGGATATCTTGAATCTTTATGAATATACATATAAAATAAATTTTATATTCCACTTGAAAATACACCTTTCTACATTTTTGTTCTGTGCAGCCTTTGTCCAAAAGGCATATTTCTATATGTAATTGTGAATTCTACATGAGCAGTTCAATCTTTCCTTGATTTGTTGATTCTAGTAAGGATATGAATAAAATGATGGCAGAGACTTTTGGAAATTTTTATTTACAATCATATCAGTCCATTTGAGCCTAATTTGTGCCCTGCATTTCATCACAATTTGCCCCAAGGTCAAAGACCTTCAAAAAATCCATCTTCTGTATATAATCAGCAATTACATATAAAAATACTACCCATGGACAAAGGCTGTAGGGAACATAAATGTGGAGAAACATAATGCAGAGAAGATTATCAAATTTAATGTATTTGTATTTTGACAAATGTTGAAGATATTCAAGATCCAAGTCTTCTGTATAGTACAAGAATAGTATTTTTTATCCGTGATTTTTTTTCAAACCTCAATAACTCAGTCAATTTACATGATAAAGTTTAATAGACTATATGTTCTTGATCTGTGAATACAGGAGCAGGTTTGTACATATTTACGATGTTGTATGATGACATCAGAATTTTGGTGGTTTGACAGGCAAATGGCCTCACATGATATTATGTTGAAGTCATTTTGAAATCTTTCTAAATCTTTCATGAATCTTTCATGGAGTCAGTGGTAGGCTCTGGCCTGCCAGAGCCTAGTAGATGGGGGCTGTGATGGTTGTATTTACACAAAGAAGCAAAACATCCCCCCTCTGTAATTCAGGCTTTTGAGCCGTGGTATTCCAACCGCAATCACAGCACCTTTTAGCTGGAGACCCAAATTATTATGATTGTTGAGTCAGTGTAAACTCGCCCTGGTTTAGCCTGCCAGTGCCACAAAGTGGGTGTGGGGCAAGATGCAGATGGAATTGCATCCAGAGGTCACAGCCACCGGGAGAGCCGTGACTGTCAGGGTCTGACACTGACACTGACTGTCAGGGCCTCCTACAACCCATGAACTCATGGGTCATAAGACACTACAGAAATGTTGATCTTGACCTGTTGCATTGTCTGTCCTTCCTGTTGGCACCTGGTTGACAGACAAAAGACTGATCCGGTGAATCACCCTTTCACCATTCATTGTCACCCTGAAAAAACCTTGACTCAATCTCTCCTCACTCCACACAGTTCTACAACACACCCTCTTACCATCAAAACAATAAATTCTTTGCAATGGAATGATTGAAAGAAGAGAGCTTGAGCATCAAATCAATTTGATCTAAGAACTTGATTTACTTTGAAGAATTGAAGAACTAGGTAAATGGGGTTATTTGTTTCAAATAGACTGGAGGCAAGTGGTTTTGAAGGCCTGAGAGGAGAAACAAATTCAGCAGCAGCAGAAAGGATGTCCTGCTTGGAACAGCGTGGTACACAAGATAAGAAATCAATGGCCTCTGCAAATCTGTTTTCTCCTTCAAACCTCATCTGGTTACAAAAGTAAAGTAGTAAAAGCCTCAATAGCAGCTGATTTGTCTTTGAAGGCCAATACACACCTAAAATCATCAATCCATTACAAATTGAGTTCTTGGGTCTTGACCATTTGAATCACATGACTGATGATTTGTTTGGTTTTGAGTAATCCTACTGATCAATCATAGAGAAAGATGGTGTTGGGCCTAAGTTCACGTTCAAGACCAAAAGTGTATGGTGAACATAAATGACAAAAGACCACTTTGGTTTTGAGTAATCCTACTGATCAATCATAGAGAAAGATGGTGTCGGGCCTAAGTTCACGTTCAAGACCAAAAGTGTATGGTGAACATAAATGACAAAAGACCACTTTGGTTTTTCCCAATCCTCATCCAACTCCACAATAGCTGATGAGTGGATGTGATCCAAGATCAAATCAGTACGCCTGAATGAAAGAGCACAAAGATTTCATTGGGGATGTGGTGTGCAAGAACTACAAGTGAAATTTATATGTTGGCTGTGACGTGAGTGCGACAGGTCACTGAAAGGCCTGACTGTCAGTGGCCTGACAGTACTGTCAGGGTTCTCCTGATTGCCTCTTGTTCTCATTAGGGATGCAGGAGTGAGTATGAGTTTACTCAGTAAAGTGAGTATTATTGAGTATACTGAGTATTTTCTCCTGGTGAATGTCTTCTCATAGTGGCTGGGCAGGTTGGTGCTGCTAACCAAGCCTCCATGCACCCCAAAACTATTGAGACCTTGGTTGGCAACCTCATATTGCAGAGACAAGGTGTTCCCCTGCCTTTCTTGTTCAGCAAGGTAGACAAGGCACTTGATTGCGTCTCAAAAAAAGGTCACAAATCCCTCTAGTGACTTCAATAGTAAATGCCTAGCTTGTCTGTCTTTTCTATAACTACCCACCTCATCCCGTCTTTACCACAAGATTTCCTTGTTTTTTTCTTATTCTTTATTCTTGTGACATATGCATATGTCCCGTTTGTTGTTTTCATATTTGTGTTATGCTTCTTTGTCTTCATGTGATCTTAATTTTGTCATTGAAAACATTCATAAACAGTTTCTTGACCAAAAAAATATCACACCAACTCACTTTCCTACGCACTCTGTGCTACACTTACCTTTTCTGAGGTCCTCAGAAGTGCCACTCAAATTTTTGGGCCTCCAGTATCAATTGCTAAATCTACTTGTTTGAAACTGACCCAATACCGCAAGAGCACCGCACTATGTTGCAGTTGTGGTGCGGTTGTGTAGCGCTTTTGGGCGCCACAATAGCAACACAATATAGTGCGGTGCCAGCGCTCCGCAATCCGGGTTCAAAAAACCCCTTGGTCAGAAACCCGCACTGCAATTGCGGTCGGTTTTTGACGGTTATTTAGGGCAAATATTGCGGAAATAGGGCAATATTGCACATTTTCCGCAATATCTTCCGGACCGCTCCGCAACGGCAAGTTAGAAAAAAAACACCCCATTGCGGAGGGGTTGCGTAGCGTAATAATGCGCCAACTGCGCAACGCAATGGAAATAGGTCGGAATCCATTGCGTTGCGTAGTGCTTGCGGTGTTGACTGACCACAGAATTGCTGTGCAGACACAAAGCCTTGAAAAAGGTTTGCATCCAGTCTTGTCTAGAAGTTTCTCTTATGTTCAAGAATTGATTTGGATAATCATCTTTTAGTATAAATGGGCAATTGCAAGAAGACCAAAATTCATCTTGTTTCTCTATGACATACATATGTAGCATGAAATGGACTTTGATTTCTTGGGTTTGGATAATTAAAATTGAAGATCGTTTCATTTGTCTTGGTTCTATAGAATATCTTTTTATGAAAAGACCTATTTTACTGAGGATCAATTTATGAATATCTTTCAACAAGAGCACCCTAAAAATTATCCCATCTCCCAATCTGAATGAGTTTTCTAGCTCAGTGAATCTTCTTTGAAAAAGAATACTCAATAAACTGGTTGTTGCCGCTAGCCATTGTACATTCTCAGTTCTAGATCAATGATAAAAAGCACTTTTTAGATTTTTCTACAAGCTTGCTTCCAATCTTGATTCATAACTTCTTGTAACTTAGGGTACATTTACTTAAGCAATTTCTGGTGAGAAATCACATTCTACAAAATTTAAAGTGTCTATTTGGTGGTGCATGTTTCATTGTTGCATTAAAAAAATTTACAGAATGTGATTTCTGGTCAGAAATTCCTTGAGTGAATGTGCCCCTATTCTTATCTGGTTCAGAGTCACAACCACTTCCCATCCAAACCCCAACCCATTGATCTTTCCAACTCGATTGGCATGTACTTTTTTCAAGACCAAAATTCATCTAAATATATTTCATTCATTCATTCATTCTTGGAAAAAAACTTAATAGTGTAAAAGAAAAAAGGATTATAAACACACAATCAAAAGAAAATATAAATCTTCAACACACTAAGAATAGGTTTGAAATTTAAATCAGAGATAAACAACAACAACAAAAAGTAAACGTGATATTTGAGGTTTATAACAAGGTGAGAGGTGGTGAGATGTGGTGATAGGATAGGATTTGATTAATTGATCTTCAGGTGCACGTGATGATATCAGACCAGAAACAGAAAAAAAACTACAGATCTTAGTTTAATGTGTTTCTGTATTTCTTCAGGATGTAGGAAAAAGGAACCGTTATAGAAGGACGAGAGAAAGTGATGAGAAGAAGTGGTAGGATGGAGGTTGGATTGGTTAACGTTTGACTTGCTTGCGTTCTTTGGCTTGGTGGGTTCAGATGTCTGTGTGGTGTTGCTGGTGGTGGTAAGGTGAGAGTAGTTGATAGTCAAGAGTGATTAGAAAAGCGATGTGTAAGAGATTTGAAAAGGGTATGATGACCATAAGAAAGTCATCAAACGAAAAGCCCAGATGAGACTGGGTAGAAGGATAGTACAATCTTGTTGAGCTATGTGATTGGGTGGGATAGTAGTCATCACAATGTCAGTCGTAAAAGTATTTGAAAGTAACAGGGGCGTAAATATAAACTGAAAAGGAAGCGGATGGTTAAATAGACAGGATGTGAATATGAACAGGATCAATTTAAAAAAACAAGAGTGCAAGTCAAGGTTGATGAGAAGGAATACCACACAGCAGAGGTTGAGGACAAGAAGCAACAAGTTTGATACCTGCATTCCAACTCTCAGATCGATGAGTGGGTCATGTAGGAGTAGCAAATCGGTTAACGGTACCAGAAGAGGTTGAGTTGGAAGAAGATGGAGGTCTGAGAGGTCCTAACGGTTCGGCATCTGCAATTCCCCAGATGTAAAGCGATCAATATCAACCAACATTCAGGTGAAGTCAGCCAAATGAAAAGACATACCTGAGGTCACGTGCGCTTTATCCTATTTGTTTTTCACTAAAAACAACAAATATCAATCACCTCAGTAAATGTAAAAGATTCGATTCGAGAAAAACAAGCCGGAATGGGCAAGTGAATGAGATGAGAAACTTACCGACTATCGGTACAATAATGATAACAAGTAGAATGATGATACCCAAACCGATATACAATCTCATCTTCATATCTTTCCACCACATCTGTTTCCTTACTCGGTTTGCTCCCCGTCTGAAGCCTTGAGCTGATACAGCCAGATTGTCTGAACAAAATCAAACAAAGTATAATGCATTAGGTCTCATGATTTAGTTCCTAGTGATCTGAAACAGGTTCAACAAAAGGATGAGATCAGCTTACCAGTTTTATCCTGTAAAGCATCTAATCTTTCTCCTCGTTCTGCTACTTTAGTGATGTTATCACGCATGATCCCGACTGTGTCATCGATCTTTGATGAAGGGAAAAGAAAACACAACGTTAGCAATCTGATAGAGGAAAGAGCTTGGGTCGTTATGTTTGTAATGCGACAGATCAGTTTCAATGATGATTCCAGTCAAGGATAGACGTAGCAGTAGGATCTAAAGGATCGATCTCATATTGGAAGCTGGTTTGGATATATCCGGAAGGTCCCAACCAAAACAAATGTATGCGCCATATAAGTGATCATCGGTTGAAAATGATCTCGTTCTTGATCTGGTTTGATAAAGTGATTATGGATTTAAAGATTGAGGATAAAACAATTCGAAAGTTGAATTCACCTGAGCTTGAATAGCTTGAGTTTTAGCATTTCCTTTATTAGGACCGGGTTGACTTCCAGGAATGTAAGGATCATATGGTTCTGCTGATGGTGGCATGATGAGTTGATGAATATGATCTTTTTGGATGGTATTTCTGAATGGTTTGATTGATGGTGTTTTGATTTGATTGAGTTGATGATGATGATATCGGTGAGTGGAATCGAATGGTTTGAAGTGGTGCTGTCTTGAAAGTTGAAAATGAAGAACTGACTCGGAAGTTCAATGGGAATCAGCTTGAAGCTTTCATGGGATTAAAGAGGTCTCTCGGCTGTGTAATATGAGTTATGGCCAAATACGGCAACAGAGTGATAGAGTTTTCATTCTCGTCCCCGCCCGAACTCGTGTTGAGGCTGTGTTTTGTTCACGGTAACAGTTGCTACATACGCCAAGACAGCTTCATTAAAGGGGCTCAGGTCAAGCAATTTTTCTGCTTCGACCATGAAAAAGAAATCCCCTATCCTTGATGAGCAGGAAATTTACCTAAGTTTACAGCAATGAGTAAACCCAAACAACTATAAATCAAAGAAAAATAGACAAACAATGTGAGGAAAAAGTAAAGGAAAAGTGTCTACAGAGACTGATATCATAAGCAACAAACACCCACAAAAGAAAACAAATTATGCATTGATGGCTTCTCAAGAAACTTGATTTGTTGTATATAAAACATTTCCCTGGTTTTTCAAGAAAACACCATAAAATTTTTGACCTGAGCCCCCTTTTCAAATTTGGTTTCTTTATGGAACTGTCAATGATTGGTACTTGAAATCACAAAGAACACAACTCACAAAAAAAGTCCTGGTCCCGATTCCCCAAAAGGACAAATAACATCATGTCTAAACAAACAACAACCTATGGGGTGGCTAGCCGTGTGTACAACAAAAAATGTAACTACCACAATACTAAAAAAATGATATATAGCATTCACAGCCTCCAGCTACTATTCACTGGCAGGCCAGAGACTACTGTGACTTTATCAGGGCTTCACTAAGAATTCACCAAGATTTCAAAATGACTTCAAAATGATTTCAACATACAGCCTGTAAGATCTACTGGCAGATTTTTGAAGAAAATTGTTGCCACCAGATTTAACTTTTGAAGTCAAAAACTCCAAACTATATCACTTTCAGAGTGAACTCTATTTTCCTGGTGCAGATTGGACCAATGGGAAGTAGAGTTATTAATCTCAAAAGGGCTGTTTTGAGTTTTTGAGCTCTACATTAAATCTAGCAACAACACAAAGCTCTCAAAATCTGCCAACAGATCTTACAACAGCTGTGATATTGGGGTCATTCACCCATCATACTATGGTTGCTAGTGCCGAGAAGCGTCAAATCTCGGACCGGATATTTATCAAAAACTACACTTCAAGACAAGATTTAGTTATGTTGTAGAAACCAACTAAAACAAGAAGTTCAAATATTGAATTTCCAATGGCATATCTGGATTGCCATCAATGTCAGGAGTCCAACAGTATCCTTGGCTCCCAAATTCAGTGAGTTTTGTGGCTCGGCCTCAAGTTGGCAGAGTAATACTTGCTGGTCCAACCTTTGACGCTTCTCGGCACTACCAACGATACCAGAATTCTGATGCCATAATGTGACATCATAAATCTGACACCTGATCCTGTATTCACAGATCAAGAATATACAGTTTTTTAAACTTTATGTAAATTGACTGAGTTATTGAGGTTTGAAAAAAATCGTGGATTAAAATACATTTTTGGTACTATACACAAGTGGCTCTCAAAGACAAAGTTGACCTGGTTTTAATAAAACCTGGATGACCCAGTTGCTTTTTGACAGTAACTTTGTGTATTGGCTTGACATTTTTTGATATCTTACAGCCAAAAAGTCAACTGGGTTGACTGGTTTTTTTTGAAACTGGGTCTACTTTGAGAGCAACTATAAGACTTGGATCTTGAATATCTTCAATCTTTATCAATATACATATACAGTAAATTTTATATTCCACTTTGAAATATGCTTCTCTACATTTTTGTTGTTGACAGCCTTCTTTTATAAGGCATATTTCTATACATAATTGTGAATTCTACATGAGCAGTCCAATTTTTCCTTGCAAAGTTACCACCAGAAATGCAACCAGGTGTACCGGGTTTTTGTGTCAACTGGGTTGGGTTTGAACATGGCTAATATAGCTTTTATGAATAACTTTTTTAAAAATAAAACATGGCCAGACATCATGAAAAATAAACAAAAGAAAAAAGAAAATCTTCTTAAAGAAAAGATAAAAAAGACCTTTGGAAAGGTCAGGTGAGGATGTATTGGAATTGATTTGCTTGGTTAACCAGCAATATTTCATTACATGGTTGAGTTATAAAAAGCTTGGTTGATTGAAATGATCAAGTTTCTTTTTATGACCACCATCATACAACAGATTTCCTATGTATAGATGGTCAAGCTTAAAATTTTACAGTAGTGTATAAAACTTGACCAATCTTTTTTAAAAAAAATGTAAAAAATGTTATGATCCTATCACGGATCATGGATCTGTCACAACCTGTGACATGTGAGACTCTCAACCTCATACGAGCCCAGCGCTCCACTTGTATTGCTCCTCATGCTACAATAACATTACCACGTACTTAGCACCCTTTCCCTTCTCTCTGTCCCCAAGCAAGGTCCCCTGAAGCCGGCCATAACACATTGTAGCATCTACCCGAGATAGACAGAAGGAAAATAATACAAGCAGAAGAAAAAGAAGAAGTTTAAAAGAAAATTTGAAAAGAAGAAAAGAAGAAGTTTAAAAAAAAATTTTATAGAGAAGAAGAAAAGAAGAAGCAAGTTATTGATTGAAGCATAGTTATCAGAACTTAGTTAGAAGTAAATTGAGAAGATTTGAAAGCTATACCGCAAACCCAAACCCACCACGCCGTCCTACCAACCACCGTCCAAAGAGACAGAGTCGACAGAAAGCACTTCTGAAAGCACCTCTTGGTACGAAGTCGACGCTGATAATCCCGCATCAGTTCCAATGGCCACTATCGAAGAGATGAACCGCCTGGCCCAGCAACTGGCCGACCTCAACACTCGGCTGAACCAAGAGACAGCCCAGAGAGCCGAATTGGCTGCTCAACTCGCCGAAGAGACCAATCGACGCACTCAGGCCGAAGCCAGAGTTTCCCAAATGGAGACTGCTCAAATCGATGGTACTGCACCTGGACCAACTAATACCCCTCCCGCTCAGCCCAGCGCACCACAACCCCCACCACCAGCTCCCACCACCAGCACCGTTACGCCCTCCATCAAGGTCGCCACCCCCGACAAATATGAGGGTGCTCGAGGCGCCTTAGCAGAGGCGTACGCCAGCCAGGTTGGTATCTACATCGCTATGAATCGAGCGCTTTTTACGACCGACGACGCCAAGGTGATGTTCGCCATCTCGTACCTGACCGGTGAGGCGATCAAATGGGCCCAACCGTTCCTTCAGCGTATCCTAGAACCCGCCGAAACTCGAACGAACCCTGTCACGTACCTGGAATTCACACAAGCCTTCGAGTCTGTGTTTTTCGATTCGGACCGACAAAAGCGAGCTGAGGCCGCACTCCGAGCCTTGAAACAAACTAAGTCAGCGGCCGAGTACACAATTCGCTTCAACCAGCTAGCACCTACCACCAAATGGGAGCTCCCAACGCTCATCAGTCACTACCACCAAGGGCTGAAAAGCGCAGTCCGAATCCCTATGATTCGCGACCACTTCGAAGACCTCAAGAGTATCACCAAACTTGCGTGCGCTATTGACAACGATTTAAGAGGAGAAGTAGTCGACCCAGCCACTGTTACTCGTACCACCAATCCAGATGCGATGGACATATCATCTGCACGGTTCAACATCTCTTCGGATGAGTACAATCGTCGGGTATCGGACCGGCTATGCTTTCATTGTGGGAAGAAGGACCATTTGGCTCGTTGGTGTCCTTCGAAAAGTAGGGGGAGAGGTAGAGGTGGTCAGGGTGGTAAAGGCAAGATAGCGGAATTAGAGGCTAAGATAGCGGCGCTGCAGGTGGGATTAGGGAAATCAGCTTCATCATCATCAGCGGCAGATACATCAAAAAATGGCGCAGCTCGGGAGTGACGGATGTGCCACCCCCGGGCCGGAGTAAGGAAGGATCAGGGATGGAATTAGACTCACTTAATATGAATGCAATTAAGAACCATGACCCCCGTGTGTTTACCTCTATTTCCCTCTCTGAGACCCCCTGCGCCACATCCCCAAACCCCAATAGCGTCCTAGCCCATGCCTTGATCGATTGTGGATCCACCCACGTAGTGCTTGGCAAGAAGTTCGCTGACCGGACTGGATTACCGGTGTCGAAGCTATCAAACGTCGGCGAAGTGTATGGCTTCGACGGAGCCCCTCGCACCGTTGCTCATGATGCAGACCTGTATATTGACGACGACAAATCCAAAACAAAATTCTTAGTAACATAAATCAAAGATTCATACGATGCTATACTTGGGATGCCCTGGTTACGCAAGAACGGGCATCGCATTGACTGGAACACACCGCCAAGAAATTCACGTCGGAAAGCCCTTCCTGTTGTCATTTCGGGAAGGGCGCCCCGATGCAGAATCGCGCCCAAGTCATGCGATTAGACAGACTTCCGATCTGCAATCGAGCACGCATCACGCGACTGATTGTTCAGTCCGTTTCAAAAACGGGCGGGCTGATCCGATCGAAGACAGCTCCGATTTCAAACCGGGTACGTGGCATCCGACTGAGCCTCAGCCCGATGCAAACATGCAAAGTACGTTTCCGACTCAAACCCGAATGCGATAGAATCATCCCATCGCGTAGCCCTCAACCGAGGCCGCATCTACCCCGCATCCCCGATGCAATCTCGCGCCCGATACAAAATCGGTGATCATCTTTCGACCCAATCCCACCATATCCGATGCAGTCTAATTTGCGAATGAGGTTCGCATTTTCTCTTGTGATCCATAAAAAAAACGTTGCATACAAAATTTTGTGTTGCATACAAAATTTTGACAATAAAGTAAAAAGTGAGCAAGCGTTGATAGGGCTTCTGGAATTTAATGTCTTTGAATTTCAAATCAAAATTTGCCCGTGTTTGAGTTTCCATTTACTAGCTCCAAATGATAGGTCTGAGGCTCAGCATGTTAACTTTGAAATGTTAACTTCAAAAGTTAATGTTAACTTTGAAAGG